CACGCATCCCGAGGCGGAGGCTGCGGCCATCTTCTCTTTGCATTTAATTTGTTAATTAGATTAGAAATTTTGTAATATTTAATTTAGTATTATTTATTCGGGCTGTAATATTTATTCGGACCCTCCGAGCGAGGGCAATCGTGTAATAAGTGTGCGTGAGTGTATGTATGTCTTCCAACCCCACGTCTTTCTTCCCTTTTATTTACCCGCTTATAATGGTAGACTAGGGCATACTTAAATTAGCATACCTTATGCTTAGCATGCGTGCATTCATATATTTGTCTTGCATGCACCGGGCTCGGCACATCATTCTAACTGCATTTGTATTTCAATTCCAAATTGAATACGTGCTAATTGTAGCATTTCACATGTCATTGTAGATTAGCCGAGCCTATCTTAGTTGCATTTTGCATGTGTTGCATTAGCCATCTTAACATGAACTAGGATCATGCATATGATTACTAACTAGTTTTTGTTTTGGTTCGGAGTACTCGGTAAGCATTTATGCTTTAGCATACCGCATGTGTGTGAGTGTTGCCATAACAGCATGATTACCATGAGGCTAGCTGCTTATGTGATATAACTGCTTGAATGCCTTTGGATGGAGGTTGAATTACCAAAATTGGGATAACGCATTAAAACTGTGAGTTTTAAGCCCACTAGATAGTGGCAAAACCATCTTTTCTAAAAACCCACTCGAGAGTGGCAAAACCTGCATTTTAGTCTACTTGCGAGTAGCAAACCATTTCCAAAACAAGCATGAAATGTTTTGTTCCAATTTAGGCGATTTGGTCTATACTTGTTTGCTGTGCGCATAACATAGTAATTCTAGGCTAATAACCGGAATAAGAACACATAACGTTTTCAAAAACGGATATCACGGTTAGTAGAGGCCGATCTTCGGATCAGGCGAGAGGGGGTGTTCATAGCTGACCTTTCCCGATCGTACCCAAGCTCCCGAGTCGAGGCAACTTTGGTGATGACGGATACATGGCCTTTGGCACCGAGTCAGGGTTTCCTAAATTCTCCCATAAAAATATTTAGGTGGCGACTTTGTATCTGGCAAAGCAGTCCATGTTTGGCACTTCCTTTCAAAAATCTGTTTCTCAAAACGATTTGCCGGATTTGGACTCTTTGGTTCAGATTAAAGACCGTGACACAAATTGAGTCCGAACTGTAGTGAGGCCCACGGGCGCGTCTACACTATCTCACGAGCTAAGGCGCTCATGACCTGTTAACCTGCTGGCTCAGCCACATTGGTCTGACCAACACCTTCCTACTGCGCCGAAACCTCTTCCGGTATAGGCATCTCCTGCCTACCACGCCTACCACCTCGTCCTCATCCTGACATCCTAATAAAGGTAACGAAGAATATTGGCACATTCACAAATGTACCAAAGCTATAACACTCGTGTCCTAATACATTGGACAACAGTAATTCATTCCACGTAAGCACATAATCACATAAGCACTTACAAATTTCATTTCCGAATAATGATAGTCCCGAGGCGTTACTAGAGTTCCGGTTAGAAACAGCATTGATCAAGTGCTTTTCCAACAAGACTCACAGAAACCCAAGGATCCAATCAACATCCTAGAAACTAAATCCCATACCCATATAGCTACATAAACATGTTATCACATAAGCGCATAACATTACATCTAAGTCTCTAACAAGCGAGACAAACCCATTGTGATACTAATCACTTCCCACGTACCCAAAGTATTCAAACCCGGTACGCTCTGATAACAAGTTGTAACGCCCTCAAAATAAACCCATAAATCATACATTCTTGACACGCTTAAACATAAGAGAATAAAGCATAATTACATTTCATCAGAGTATTCATTACAAAATGTATTACATGTTGACAACAAAAGTAAATGCCCTGCGGGCTTACAACTTTCCAAGCCAACACTTGGTCATAAAAAGGAGAGTACTAACTCAAAATACAAAATAAGCCCTTGGCTTGATATACGTGTAATACAAGAATGTAATTACAAAAGATGTCTCAGCCACTAAGCCTCTCAAGTTACGTCCTTGGAGGTGGCATGCTACCTGTACCTGAAAATGATGTCCCATATAGGGTGAGCCAACGCCCAGTAGAGATATGTTAAACATAATATGAGTAATAACTAAAACATGAACATTTGATAAATGTTTAATTCACATAAATCAATTCATAATTCCTTCCAATTACATGACCAATAGGTCCATGTTTCATCTCATTTCCCATTACTTATTCAGTTCTCAATTTATGAATAAGGCTCAGAACCTGGCCAATAATTTAATGAGACTATAACTCATATCAACAATACTTTCATAATTCACAATAGATACACATATTTGCTGTATCAATAACACATTTAACACTTCCATACTTCACAATAGATACACATATTCGTTGTATCAACACTTCAATAGATACACATATGTGTTGTATCAACACCTCAATAGATACACATATTTGTTGTATCAATGGAGTCCATCCCCTATCTCCTCCTAAACCGTGGAGTACATCCTCTATCTCCTTCCACACAACACAATGTATATAAACGCATATCATATACATAATCAATCAATACATAAATTTGATGTATTATTCCAACCGTCATATTCAATGACATATTCAATTGATTAGTTTAATTCACCTAATCATCATGCAATGTCTACAACAATCAAGACTATCCTCCACCGATAGCCTAAAGCATTTATTTCTAAACAGATAATAATTATATCAACAGATAATTTGTCAACAATATCCAAGGTCAGTGATTAATAATTCCAACTCCACCATTCTATCTCATAATGAGCCAATTACATTATTTCCAACTCAATTTCATATTTCCATAGTAAATGTCATTAATCACACTAATGACCCAAATATACCCACACATGACATTTTTTCCCTGTTTCTCAATATTCACCCAAAGGTTCAAATATTATCAACAACATCAATAACCTCATTTTTAGACCCAAAACACAAATGTTTGAATCAAAAGCACAAAACCCCTCTTTTCAATATAACCCATCTCAAACCCTAACTTCCCAAATAAAACCATTTATACAAAAAGCCCAACATCTATGTTAAAGCTCATAAAGATGAGTATGAATTCCTACCTCAAGAGATGAAACTCAAAGGAGATGATGAAGAAATCCCGAAGTGCTCCAAATCAAGAAATTTTTGAATTGATAGGAAGCCCACACCAAGCTCTACACTTTTTGTAAAGGCTCAAGGATAGGAGATTACTCTAACTAGATCAAATCCTAGAGAGAAGTTAAGGTTTTAGAGTGAGGTGCTCTCAAATGGTGGTTTTCGAAAAGTAAGAGAGAGAAAGGATGTTGAAAAGTGATTCAAAAAGTGACATCTCGAAGTGATATAAAAGTCGCCCCGCTTGAACGTGGAAACCCCCGCTCGAGCGTCACACACAGACTCACGCCCGCTCGAGCGTCGGATGCACACTCACAGAAGTTTTGCAGACAATGGTCCCTGCTCGAGCGTCAAACTCCCCGCTCGAGCGGAGGAACAAAATCAAAGGGTCACACTCGAGCGTACGAAGATCTGCAGAGAAAAATACTGGGAGATGGAAATTCATGCTCAAGCGTCAAAACTCCTGCTCGAGTGGAGAAGCAACAACAAAGGGCCAACTCGAGCGTCAAAAGCCTCGCTCGAGCGTGAAGGCCAAATTCTGGGCATCAACTTTTGGTTTCGAAGCACAACCAACCTGTTTCAAACCTGCCCAACACAACCCAGGACTCAAATACAAAGAGTAAATGATGGAAATGAGAATGAGACAACAACACATCCACGGAACCGAGTCCGGAATACAATAAATAAAGAGAGGAAAAACTAGGATCGCTATAGAGCCCGAAAGCCCCGGCTCGAATTTGGCTCGAATTTGAGAAGGAAAAATGAGGAAGAAGAAGAAGAAGAAGAAGAAGAAGAGAAGAAGGAAGAAGAAGAAGAAGAAGAAGAAGGAGAAGCAGAACTGGAGGGGCCATGAAAATCGGGCTGGAGGCAGAGGCGGAGGCGGGGCTGCGATGCGACGATCAGCCGACGAGCTACGACGATCAGCCGACGAGTGACGAGCTGCGACGACGACGAGCTGCGACGACTCTCTCTCGCCTCTCGCCTCTGTTTCTTTTCTCTTGTGTTCAAAACGAAGAAGAAGAAGAAGAAAAGAAAGAAAATGAAGAAAAAGAAGAAGAAAAAAAAATTGAAACCCAAAACGATGTCGTTTTGGGTTTCGAGCCGAATTCGAGCTACTGATTTCGGGCCCTCAAACATTTTTCAAGGATCATAGATCAATTGATTATTTATTCGTATCACGGGATTTTTTTATTTATTTATTATTATTATTATTATTTTTTTGTGGACTCTCTTTAACAATTGATTGTCTGACATGATTATACTATATTGACAAATAATAATAAATAAATAAATAATCATAATTAACTTGGTCAACTCTCTTGGTGTTAAATGATGGATTTTATTATAGGGTTTGGTTATGGTGTGCAATTTATACCTTACACCTTATACCTTACACTTACACCTTTTGTAAAAAATTAAACCTTACACTTACACCTTTTTTGAGGTTGCACACCATATGCAACCCACTTACACCTTACACTTACACCTTATACTTATACTTACACCTTACACTTACACTTTTTGTGTAAGTGACACATGGTGTGCACTTGCACACTTAAGAAAACTCCTTTATTATATGAGATAAAATCACCAATAGGAAGGCTTAGACTAGCAAGATTGGAATTTTGGACCATGGAAATTAAAGTGTTGAATAGAGAATATATAATAATGGTGACAGCTAAGTTTAGTTGGTATCTTTGAATGAATACCAAAAGTCTAAAGATTAAAACGTGCATTTGATTCTTTAGTCCAAGTCCATGATCACCATCACAGTAAAAACTAAATTAAATAAAAACAAAGTTGAATGGATATTTTTTTTTTTTTTTGAGCTGAAAGGCACGAAACAATTTATAAACCAACAACAGAGGCTGCAGAAGCAGGAGATACATCAGTAGATAATAAGGATAAGAGACTATCTGGTGGAAACCCTGCCCAGGAGACAGGAAGAACCTGAGAGGCTTGGGATGTGGCCACCCAATGTGCTACCCGGTTGTTGGATCTGTGAGTCCACGAAAATGAGAGATGATAGACAGAAGCGAAGTGGCGAATATCCAGAATAATGGCACTCAACTCCCAGGGAGGTACCTGTTCTGAAACACACAGCTTGATGACCATTTGGTTGTCACTCTCAATCTCCACAAAGGACAAGTTATGTGCCTTAACCATAAGGCAAGCCATGCGGACAGCGCAAGCCTCAGCTTGGGAGGCTGAAGAGGCCGAAACAGTCTTGGCATTACCATCAATTAGTTGGCCATTGGAATCCCGAACAACTGCGGCAATGGCAGCCCTTGAGGTCCGTTGGCAAAAAGAGGCATCGCAATTTATCTTGAAGGAACCAAAGTTGGCTGGTATCCAGCCTGAGACAGGGGAGGAGGACATAGAAGTAGGCCGATGTTCTTGAGGGGTGATAGTGCTGAAAAGGTCTGTCGATTCAGTCCATGAGTGAGCAATTCGATGGAGTGTTGCCATAGGATCCACTGGGAGATTATTGAAGACGAACTCGTTCCTCGATTTCCAGATGAACCAACCCACAGTGGCAATTTTGCTGAGGGAGGCCTTGGCATCAGAGAGGGAGGAGGCTTGGCTAATGATATCACTGGTCCATTGAGACACATTAGGGATTGAGCCAAGGTCTATCCGAAGGTTAAGGGAACTGCCAAACCACACAGCTTTGGACCAAGAGCAATCAAACAACAAATGTTCCACTGTTTCAGATGCAGAAAGACAGATGGGGCAGACCGCTGAAGTGCCTCAAACTCAACAGACCCAACACAACTCAACTCAACACAATTCAACATGATTCAAACTCAATTCATCATAGTCCAACACAATTCGGTTCAACATTATTCAACACAACTCAACATAATCAACACAACTCAACATGATCAACACTATTCAACATAATTCAAGGTGAACTCTTAAACCTTTATTTCATCATTTCACCCCAAGGCTCATGTCATCCATATCATCAATAAATCATTTCCTCAATTTTCATTTCACATTATAGCATAATTTACAATATCCATAACAAAGGTTCAATCGCTAATTTTTAACATAATTTTCAAACACATCCAAAATCCAATTAAACTTGTATATATACAATTCAACCTTTCAATTTCATAATTCTACTTTCAATTTGGGCAAAATCATTCATTATCACCATGAATCAACCTAGGGTTTTCAAGAAAAATCAAGACTTTCAAGAAAAATTAAAACTTCTCTCACTACTTTTAATTCTAATTTTTTCCTTGATTACACACCTAAGGTTCATAATCCACCATATTAACCCAACAATTGAACCCCCAACATTTCAAACCCTAAACCCCCAAATTCCATGATACACTATATGTTCAAAAATGGAGATTTTGTATTTGTATAATCAAAATACCACAAATCTATCTATTAATGCAAGTATTGAAGAAGAACTAAGACCCCTACCTCAAGAATCGAGCAAAAGGGCAAAGCTTTGAGAAAAATCCTTCGCAAATCCGAATTCCAATCAGTAGAAAAATAAGATCTTCAAGCCTCTTCACTTTCTTGTAAGAGATCTTGCCCAAATCTTAGAAGAGTGGAGGGTATTTGGGGTCAAAAACCTAGGGTTTTCGGACCTAGGGTGAGAGGAATGAAGAAGGAAAAGGAAAATGCAAAGAATGAGCTAAAAAATCGCATTTTAAGCTGCTCAATTCGCACAGTCCGCTTGAGCGCCTATTTTCCCGCTCGAGCGGACCTTCTTCCAGCACAAATTCCAAAACTTCAAACGGGCATAACTCTCTCATCCAGACTCCGTTCTAGGTCGTTCTTGTGTCCAAATCGAAGCCCCAGAAATAAGCTTTCCAATGGTTCTTGCCTCACATCCAAATTCAAAGTGTGGAAAAAGAAAAGGGCAAAGGAGTGATGGCTGTTCGTAGGAAAAGTTATCCGAATTAAATTCTCGGTTCACTCTTACTTTACCATCATGCTACCACTTCGATCAATACCCCAAAATAAAATAAGGAGGGTCCAAATACACTAATAAAAATGTCAAGGGCAATCTCACTTTCCAAGCTCGAGCCCGTGGACCAACAAAGTTGTCTGCTCGAGCGACCACTCCTATGCTCGAGGGGGAATTCACAACTCTCAGAATTTCGGACCGTCTACAAAAATACTGAGAACCTCTCAAGTCCGCTCAATCGTCAACTCCCCCGCTCGAGCGGAGGGAAAAATTCCGGGTCGTTATAATCTTCCCCCCTTAAGAAATTTCGTCTCCGAAATTGCATCCGTTCTAACAAAAATAGCAACAACCTTATACTCACCAATTCTTAACAACCCCTAGTTCACAACAAAGCATGAGAGCACCCATACATATCCACCAAACCTTAACAATTTTCAATTACACCTCACTTCAATTCTAAACCCAAAAATACAAAGTGTTATAATCTACCCACCTTGGGGAAATTCCGTCCCCGAAATGAAGAAAACTAAATAGAAGACAACTCAAACATGGATTGAAACACACCCTGTAATGTTCAAAACTAGATCCACACTTGGGATAGATTCTCAATTTTTTTTTTTTTTTTTTTTTTTACCTCAAATGTCCAAAGAAAAAACCACAAAAATACTGAGAACCTCTCAAGTCCGCTCAATCGTCAACTCCCCCGCTCGAGCAGAGGGAAAAATTCCGGGTCGTTATAATCTTCCCCCCTTAAGAAATTTCATCTCCGAAATTGCATCCGTTCTAACAAAAATAGCAACAACCTTATACTCACCAATTCTTAACAACTCCTAGTTCACAACAAAGCATGAGAGCACCCATACATATCCACCAAACCTTAACAATTTTCAATTGCACCTCACTTCAATTCTAAACCCAAAAATACAAAGTGTTATAGTTGTGATTGTTATGGCTGCTTTTTTCACAACCATTGGTTCTATAGATACAAATTGGGGGGTGGGGAAACTATCTTTTACAAGCACCGCATGCTAGGACCCAATTTCGTAACCAACCTAAATTTAGACATAACTAATGATCAATGAGCATAAACATTTTTTACAAAGGTTTCCATGCACAGGAAGGGGAGGAAAAAAACCACACATTTTTCTCCCGGCACCATCAATGTAGCAGCAACAGACTCCCCATAACTGAACCGCCGACAGAATCAATTTATAAACCTTGTATGAGAAAGGAATTGTGCAATACTGACAATTCATTTCTAGTGTATCATGAATTTGAATAAAACAGCACTAAGACTTCAATTCCCATGAAAATCCAATAGATATCAAAAATAGCATCTCCAAATACAGAATTAAGAGCTACAAATAAATATAAAACTTGGTGCATTATAAATGTATGTACCTTGTATCTGTTGACAAGGTTTTTCCACTTGCATTTACATTGATCAGTGCTTCTCTAATACCATAACTCCCTCATTCTGGAGGAGACAACCTCCCAAAGAGTCTTGTTCTGCTTAGCAATAGTAAAGTCTCTCTCGAGCTCGATACGAATGGCAATAAAGTCTCGAGTCTCTTGGTGGCTCTACTGTGGCACTCTCTCATCCCTCCTCGGAAATTCTTCATCGTCTTTGCCAGCTAAGGCGGAGATCACCGCCAAATTGAGTTAGAGAGGAAGAGGCATCATCATTTGAGTTAGCCGACCTAGACCTTCATTCTCCCTTCTTCCACCGCCACCGCCGCCGCCGCCGCCGCCGCCGCTGCCGTGCATCATTTTATTGAATTCAGGCGATTGGTTTGTTTCCTTTTATTTATTATTAGGGTTCGTTCAAGCGTTTTGGTCAGAGCAGAGGACTCCAAATCGTGTGGGGTGGGGCTTCCTTTGTCTTTCCTTCTCTGGGAAGAGAAAGAATAAACAGCTAACAAAAATGCTTAAAAATAATAATAAAAAAATTAAAAAGTACTTATATATATATATATATATGTCTGCGGGAAATGTAGAAAAACTTGTTTTAATGTAGTGTCACATTTTCTTCACTACGAAAATTCTCATTGGTGCAGGATATGGGTTCTGGGTGTTAGTAGCCTAATTAGAAAGCCCAAGGCTCGTGGGTGACTTGGGCCAGGTCTGACCCCACCTATCCACTAATGGCTTGATTCAGGCTCTAGTATGGCCTAGTATGGTCTTGCTTATAGGTAATTTTTCATATCAGTGTTGAGAGTTTTGCATTGATTAAATTCCTAATACATATAATCTTTTCATCCTAGATAAACAAAATAATTATCATACTCAAAATTTTGGGATAACTTGGAAATATGGTAAGAATGATGAAAAATGGACTGTGGATAAGGGAACCAATGTTGCGTTTGGTAGAGTTTTCTAAATATGATTTGAGAATAGAGTTGTATTTTGAGTTTGTGAGTTTTGGAATTATGATTTGAGTGTAGAAAATTTGCTTGGTTATGAGTTTTGAATTGAGTGTTGAATTGAGTTTTTAATGTTTGATGTGACCTGTGAAATAAGAAAATTTTGTTTGGTTATGAGTTTTTGAAAGAGTTTTCAAAACTTAATTCAAATTGTTATAACTCATAACCAAACACACAACTCCAAACTCTATTGAAAGTTCTGATTAACACTCATAACCAAACTCTTTTTAAAATTCTATTCAAAAAATTAATTATTAACTAAAAATAACATTAATCAATTTTTTTTAATTGAAAATATTACAAAAGAAATAAATTTTTTTCAAAATAAATATTCAATTAATGATTTAAAATAACTTTTGATTGTAAACTCTTTTAATTGCACCACTCGTGCATTCTGCACTCACTATAACATTAATATCCCGCTCATTTTCTCTATTACAAAACAGCGGAGGGAAAAAAATAAATAAAGATCCCACATTCCCTTCCATCTCTATGCTCTTTCTCTCTCTACCCTCTTTCTTTTTTTTTCTTTTTTTTTTTTTGTGGGTTCTATGAAGGTGAAATGCAAGAACAAGCAATGAGTTCCATTGCAGCTGGCTCTCTACCTTCGAGCAAATCCATTATTAAAGAGTATAATTCCTTTCTTTTTTTTTTTTTTTGTGTGGGTTCTGTGAAGGTTAAATGCAAGAACAAGCAGCGAGTTCCATTGCAGCTAGCTCTCTACCTTCGAGCAAATCCATTGTTAAAGAGTGTTGCTCCATCAAAGTTTACACAATATAAGAAAGCAGGAGAGCAAAAGAAGAGATCAAGCAAAAGGGTGAGTGCTGGTCGACCGAGAAGCAAGAAAAGGTGGGGTGCTGGTCGACCAGCCGAAAGTTCGGGTGGAGGACTGGCCAGATATCCTGGTGGATGACCGGCTCAGCCACTTTTTGCCTAGATTAGAGAACCCATTCCACCTTCTCAGCTATTCCACACCAGATCGATTGAAGGATATATATATCAGCTATGAAGCATCTTTAGCTTTAAATTTCATTGCGCGTAAAGCTTTTCAGAAATGAAGAAGACCAAAGAGAGAGAATATTTACGTTGGGAAGCTTTTCAGAGTGGAGAAGATGAAACAGAGAGAAATCTACCAAACGAGAAAGAGAATTACATTTTGAAATGTGTGGGGGAATTACATTTTCAAAACTCTATCCAAACATGAAATGCAAATGGAGGGGTGGAATTAAATTTATAGAACACAACCAAACAAAGCCCAAGTCTCTCACCAGTAGAGACTCTAACAGCAATTACACTAGTGATGCCATCGTAGTTGCTTTTCATTTTCCAACAATCTTAATTTTGGAAGGATTTTAATTTGTTGGTGACTTGTAATATGATTTTGTTGAAAGTGTTTTTTTTTTTTTTTTTTTTTGGTGTGTGAATTAAGAAAGATGTGTAAAAAGTTAGTGTGGTAGAAATGTGGGAGTTAATTGGTGGCAAAGGGGTGCACAAGTGATGATGGTGGAGATAGTAGAGTTGTATGTGATGTGTGATTGTTTGTTGTAGACAAATTGTTTGTCGCATAGAGAATAGAGATAAAAGGGAAATGACTAAAGTATATTTTACACTTGAAAGTAGTCATACGACATTTGCATGCATTTTTATGACAAAATTCCTAACGAAACTAATTTATTGGAATAAGTTGATACAAAATATAAAATTTATGGTGAAAATTGAGTCAATTAAAATTACGAAAAACTAAAGTGAGACAATAGGTAAAGTATAAGAACTACTACCATAAAGAGTGATTAAAATTTTGTCTTTGACTAATCTTAAAATATATGTAATCCTTGAATTCTATATGAACTTTAATTGTTAATCTCGTTTTTAATGGTTCAAACATATAATTTAAGGATTGATTTGACAAATGAATTTTCAATAGTTATATATTTTTTTTTTAAATTTATTTTACTTAAGTTGATTCAGTTGGAAAATGGTCATTGTTTTTTGTTATTAAAAATTTTAGGTGGGGTTTTTACCCTACTTTTTTTTTTTGTGTTTCTTTTTTTAATTTGAATTTTTTTACAAACTATAAAAATTATTAGAAGTAAAAAGGTATACTAAAAAATTAAAGAATTTAATAAATTATAAAAATTTCTTTTTTTTTTAGCATTTAATAAACCAATTTAATCTAGTATTTTGTTTTCTTTTTTTTTTTTTTTGGTAAAAGTGGGAGGTGTGTCTTTATACCAACAACTAAACTCCTTACACCCATTTTCTTTTTACATGACACCAAAAAATTCCTCTCTTTACACTTCTCATAATGCCAAACTAACTCTCATCTCTTTCATCCCAACATTCCAAACCCAATCTTCTAACCACCACGACCACTATTGTCTCAACCACCTTCACAACCCTCATTGCTACAGCCACCACTTCCTCAATCGTTCTATTACCGTGACCATCACCACTGCCTCAACCACTCTATTCTGCAACACTTTCAGATCTGCTTCTCCACCACCACGATCCACTGCTAGATCGAGAGGAAGAGAGAGAGATGAAACCTAAGATTGCGGATAAGAGAAAAGGAAGGAAAAGGAGTAGGAGGGCAACGACAAAAAAAGATAGGGGCAACGGAGAACTGCCGCAACCACCCCTTCTGTAACACTTTCATATATGCATCCTCACCATTGCAATTCACCATTACCGTGACTATCGCATTTCTGCGAGAATGAGAGAAAGAGGCAGAGAGATGAAAACCTATGGTTAGGTTTTCAGATATGGAAGAAGAATAAGAAGAGAGAGAAAGAGGATGAGGGCGATGGGGTAAGGCAGTAAAGGACTGGGTGGCAGTGGTTGGTAGTGAAAGGGTAGTTGCGGTGAAGGGCTAATAGAGGTGGTGGTGATGTGGTGTAATGAAAAATTAGGGCTTTCAAAGTTTAGGGTGGAAGGATATTTTAGTAATTTTATATTAGAATTGAAATGTAAAAAAAATAAAAATAAAAATAAAAAAATTGAAGGGTGTAATGAGTTGAATCAATGGTTTAAAATACTAGTAAAGTTAAGTTACAATATAAAGAGGTCGTCGCTAACACATCAGCTTGAACCTTAGACATTCCACTCACCACACTCTGAGGCGTGACAACATGTCACTCGGCCACAAGATTCTCATCAAAAAAAATGCCAAATACCATACTTTTCAATAATATAAAAAAAAAAATTAGCTAAATTAAAAAAACAGAAGCCCCAACCTTGCCAACTGGAATGGTCCAATTGGATCACGAATAGTATTCCCCATCCCTTACCACTCTATAAATACCACTCCACCCAAAACATTCCCAATCTCTGCGATCTAGGGTTTTTAAGTTTCTCTTCATTCCTATCTTTATCAATCTACAAATTCCTATGCAATCTCCAAATTCTCTCCATATTCTACTAGGATTCATCTGATTTTTCATCAAAATCATTTTCTTTGCTTATTAGTTCAATCAATTAGGGTGCTGGCAATTCAATAATGATAATCTCTTTCCTATTTCGCTTCTCATTGTCATCGCTGATCACAAAGCTTCGTAATCTTCGAGTTCTCGGTCCTGGTTTGAATCCTTTTGCTCCCTACAACATGGCCAATTACTCCTCTCCCTAATTGTTTTTGCCACTCTTTTTTTTGCATTTTGTGTTCTCTCAATCATGTAAAAAAAATCTTGAAATATCTCATCTTCAGATCTTATCTATCGCTTCAAGTTCTATCGATAGGTTGAAGTTTTATCGATTAAAGTCTTAGGGTTTTATGTAGTGAGTTAAAGATAAGATTAGTCTTGCCGTTTAAAGCTGGAAATTTGAGGGTTTTCTTCGAATTTGGAAGCTTCATAGTTTTGTCGGTATTTTTAATATATAGGAACAAGTATGCCTCAAGGCGACCAGTTGGGTTTAACTTGCCGGAGCAGACGCATGTATAGGTCTGGGGGCAATAGGGACAATCGAGGTTGAACTCTACTGCATATTGGTGCCCGAAAAGGTCATAGCGATTCCAGTTTTGACCCGTCACTTGTTGTACTCCGAATTCAGGTTTATGGTTTCTGAATGTTATTCATTGTCTTTTGCTCTTTATTCCTCCTTAAATTTGGTTATTTGGGCATTTTGAGTGTGCTTAGAATAGGTTGGTTACTTAGTTTTAAAACCTTGTGTTGCCCAAAATTTTGGTCTTCCGCTCAAGCGGGCCTCCTTCCGCTCGATCGGGTTTACAAACACTGAATACTTTGCACGTCTACAAAATACTAGAGGAGTGTTTTCCATGCTTGAGCGGAGTTTCGTACGCTCGAGCAGGTGGGCGCTCGAGCATCCCATCTTACGCTCAAGCGGTTTGTC